GCCCTGAGATTGGCAGTGCACCCCTTGTCATTGGGCACCACTGCTGGCAGTGCCTGCGGGGCAGTCCCCACTTGTCACACCCCCCTCCGACACCGCCATCAGCGTCTGCGGGTGGTCACCGGTCCCTCGCCCCCCGCCCCGGACACTGCCACAGCTGCCTGCATTAGCAGCACCATTCCCCCGCAGCCTCCAGGGTCACACCTCGTTCGTGCCCGCCAAAAGACATTGGAAACATCTGAAGCCCCTGGTGGAGGCTGGTAAGGGCGACTTATGGTTCTGGACTGGATTTGGCTTGGAACACACACAAAAACCCCAAAAACCACCCTCCCCCCCCCAAAAAAAACCCTCAGGTAATGCAGAGGCTTGTTTGAACCCAGGATCTGTAAAGATTCAGGATTGAACCATTTAGGCTGCTTCCCATGTGCAGAGCCTAGGGAAGCAAGGCAAAAAAGAGTTAAAAGTCTGTGAATTCTTTGAATCTCCTTTCCGTTAAAAAAAATCAATCCTGAAGCTGGTAGTGTAGAAGATCCTGATGCACAGTGGAGAGTAGGGATTTTTGACCGGGGTGCTGCAGTACCTTGGGGTGCCTTCAGATGCTTTGAAAGGCACCACAGGATGCCCCGCGTAGTTAGCACTTGTGAAACACGATTCACAAGATAAACTGAGAGGTTTCATATCCACAGTGTTAAAAATGTTCTGGTCTCTTGTGGTCTTTCTTAGTTCTTTGCAGCAAGAAGATTGCTGCTGTGTTTCTCTGTAGTCAGTAAACAAGGGAAACCGAGAAGCTGGTATTTTCTGAAGAGTGCCTCGTGTCTGAAAAGATGGAGAACTAGTGCTGTAGAGAGAGGGAATATCCTTGTACGTCCACTGTAGAGGAAAGTACGGTCCCTGTAAAACTTCTCCCTTTCCCCAAATGTGGAGATATCATCTCCTAACTGTGTCGTCTCCTAACAAGAAAAAATATGGTGCAGGCATCCCATCCTACCAGCAGTTTGAGATACCATCAGTGTCCAAGTAAATAGCATCCCTTATCATAGACATTGCCAGTTCCTGCCAGAGCAGAGACTCTCAAATGAGCCTGTGGTTACCTGCTGAGATGATCTTATAATGTTATGGTTGTAATTTGACCAAGTTTCCTTGTTAGACGTGTTGTGCCTGTTACTATTAAGTGTATTACCAGAAGAATGAAAAGGTATTACGGGTAGTATTCCAATGTGATCTGGGATGATCTAGATATAAATCTAGGCCAGTGATTCTAAAAAAGGGTGCTGCAGCTCCCTGGGGTGCCTTCAGGGGTGTCGCACACTGTTAGCATTGTTAGATGTGCAAACACGATTGACAAGTTAAATCCAGAGATTTCAAATAGGATCCATAGCATTAAAAGCATCCTGACTTGTGATCTGAGTTGTCAGCAACAGAAACATTGCTCTATTATTATTCTGTAGTCAGAAAACAGGTGAAGAGCTAGCACTTTCTGGATTCTGTTCCAGCGGTTTGCTGGCGATCTCGGGGCAAGCCATTTTACTTCTCCATCTCTACTTTTTAGTCGCTGTCTCTATTTTAAAAATGAGAACAATGCGCATTTGTACATACGTTTGTGCTACAGCGTCAGGCGCTTTTAAAAGTGGCTGATGCTGCGGCGCATGCAGTTGTATAAGCAGCGAAATGTGTGTCAAAATGGCGGCAGTGTGCTTTTGAACTAAAGTAGCTCGAAGGTGTTTGAGTTCAAAAGCACACCGCTGCCATTTTCTGTGCACTGATGTGCATTTCGCCGCTTAGAAGACTGCATGTGACAGCGCAGTGCGCGTTGGCTCATGTGCAACAGAGACTTGATTAATTGAGTCTGCTCCAATCCGCTGGATCTCTGGCACATCACGGGACAAAAAAGCGTGTGTATAAAGTGCGTGTGTGTGTGTAAAAAAAAAAAAAAAAAAAAAAA